CCCCCCCCCCCCCCCCCCCCCCCCCCCTCCCCCCTCCCCCTCCCCCTGTTTGTAAGGTCCTAGGCTCCCCTAGGCGTGTCTACGCTGTACGTGTGTAGCACCTGTTCTTGTAGATAGACTTGATGTAGCTCTTCAGTCCGCTACGACCTAATTCATTTGGCTCAAGACTATTGAAGCCCAATACTGCATCCGCAGCCATAGAAAAGGTGTGCATCGCTGCCGCTCGCACACCGTCGATCTCCGTGGCCTCTTGGTGTATTCGATCAGGTCCAATCAAGCTACTGCCACTTCTGGGGGCACTTACCCCTCAAAGTGGTAGCGGAGCTTGTGTCTCCTGCTTCGCAACGGTCGATTTTGCATTCGTGCCGAATCGTCCGATATTCCGGACAGGAGACAACAAAGTAGGTCACTTGTCTGAAACATAAAGACCATGGTCCAGATCTTTAACGTAGATACGGACGAAGAGCATGACGACAGCCTGTCGGAAGAGAGTGATCCAGAAGAAGCTTTCGCCGCATAAGGTTCGTGTCATCGCCACCAGCAATCAAGATCCTCAGGTTCGACATACCGGACATATATGGGGCACAGCCAGCACCAGGTGTCAAAATGACGCCAAAGATTCCCCCGTCCTTTGATGGACAGTCATCTTGGGTCGAGTTTGAAGATTTGATTGATGACTGGGTAAGCTTTACTACACAGAGAAGCTTGGTCCTTCGCTAAAGAATGCATTGACCGGAAACGCAGAGTATTACAAGAAAGTGTTCGACAATGAGCAGCTTCGTCATGAAAGAAATAGTATTACGTATTTTAAGGGGACGTTGCGTCCATACTTTGTCAAGGGAGCAAATCATGTTTTTCTCTGGCGTTTCACGCAGCCCTTTAGGACCTGGCGCGGAAACGGAGAATTTGTCAGTTGGATGGCTCGTTTTGAAGTTGCAAGTAACAAAGTCATGGAAGCCTTCATGGGCTTTTTAGATCTTTCGACTGTTCCACAGCCTGATGATTTCAACTTTACTGATATCCTCTCGCAACAGCAGTACATGCTACTTCAAGGAACTCAAGATCCCGCAGAAAGAAGAGAAACTGCAGAAAGGATCCGTTCTGAACACATTGATGCTTTGAAACAAGCACATCGTGTCTTCACTTATTTTCCTAGTTCAGTCGGACCTCAATGAACAGCAAAGAGAAAGGTTTGTAGCCAGCATGGCCTTGCGTCAGATCAACATGAACAACTACACATACTTAGGTGTCAAAGGCTTATTCCTTGATCCCTTTTGCGGAACCGCCACAGGAACTGCCGATCCTTCGATCCGCAGGCAGAGAAGATCCACTTTCCTTGTCCTCGATGAAGGAGACTTGGAGGAAGAATCCGGATACTGGGTGATGGATCAGGAAACAGGCGAAGAAGGATTTGTGAGTTTGTTCTCAGAATCCGAATTTTGGGTGTTAGCAGCCAAAGGAGGATATACCCGTAGAAGAATCCATGGAAGAAGGTTCAGAAAACCATCCAAAGGCGGCAAAGGTAAAGGCCGCGGAAAAGGAAGAAGACCCGGCTTTGTCAGCCGTAGAGGCAAAGGTGCAGGGGCGCACTATGCAGAGTACCCTGACAACTCAGGTTTCTATGGGAAAGGCAAGAAAGGAGTGGAAAGAAAGGTTTCAAAGGAAAAGATGCATTCGAAGGCCAAGGAAAAAGCAAGCAACAGAATTCACCAGCTCAGCCGAATCCTAGTGCCGAAGAAACCTGGAGTGCACATGAAGCAAATTGGTCATGGCTCTCGTATGGATACCACACAGACCAGTACTATCCAGAAGAAGTCTGGCAGGCAAATGAAGCCACTTGGCACCAATGGACATACTTTGCGGACGGACAGACGGACAAAGGCAAAATGAAAGGTTGAGCAAGAAAATATAAAGTAAGTTGGTATAATATGGGAAGTTCATCAGCAAAACCTAGCGAGACAGACTACATTGAGCAAATCAAGAGCATCAATGAAAACGAGCTGGATTTGAACAAGATTGACACCCTTCAGATGAAGGCAATCAAACAACTGGTAAAGAAAATTGAAGAGACTGAAAAAAGACAGTCTGATAGGATTATGTATAAACTACCCGCGATAAACATTTGCACCCCTTCGTTTATATAAATTACACCACCGTAGACCCCAAACACTTTGTTTTTTAAATCAAAACTAGAGCTTGCGACGTCCAGAGCTGGGAGACAAAGGATTGCAAGGCAGAGGCGGCCACAGCAGCCCAGAGCTGGGAGACAAATGTAAATGGATTGCAAGGCAGAGACGGACACAGCAGTACAGAGCGGACGGACGCATCTTAAGAAAGAATTAATTGAGGAGCCCTAACAGTAAACCTTTTGGGGAATTATTCTTCAAGCCCGAACATGATGCTGGTCATGCTGCTCAATCAGCGGGGACCACGTGAGGACAAGAAATAGAAGCGTGAGGAGCGAAGGATGTGACATGAAATTGATTTTTGGTGACTGACGTACGCCCTCCGTCCCAACTGAACAGAGAAATCGCTGCCACGCCGCCGAAATCCAATCCGGTCATTCATCCAACGCTTGCCCGAAAAGGAAAACAGAGCTGAGAGAGTTACACTGTGGCAGGAATGCAATCCCGGAGACAGTCACGCACCCCTTTCAAAGGAGCAAAAACCTTTCACAGGCGAACCTGTTCCAGCGGACAGGGCACAAAACAGCGCAGGCACCAAACCTGAAAGACAAAAAGGAAGAAATCACATGGGAGACAAATTAATAGAAATGCTACATGGCCAGCGGAAAAGGGCAGCAGCACCAGTGACAGACCCGGGAAACAAATGAATAGAAATGCTGCATGGCCAGCGGAAAAGGGCGGACACCAGCAGTGACAGACCTGGAAAACAAATGAATAGAAAGGGCGGACACCAACAGCCACAGACCTGGGACACTAATGACTAGAAATGCTGCATGCTCTTGCCTCTTCTGATCTTCCGGGCTTTGCGCATCAAAACCTTTCGGGTCTGAGGGTCCAGATCGACTCCTGTGCGGGCGAAGATGTCCTTCAGCGGCACTTCCAGGCATGGCCTGATCTTCTCTTTCTCCTTCTTCTTGACCTTCTTCTTCGACGTCTTCCTCTCCTTTTCTCCCTCCGCTGCGGGAGCGTTTGCGCCTTCTGGGGAGTAATCCTCGGCGTTCACGCCCTCGACGACACGCTTCATCTCGGTCCTCAACTTGGCCAGCTGATCCGGTTGGTCAAGTTCGTCCATCATGCCAAGGCCTCGACCCTTCACCTCCTCCAGGTTGCTCCACCAGCCCTCTGGCGGACCCTCTTGGCACATCAGGCGATCTCCATGCACTAGGTCGTTGTTCCAGACCAGGTTCTCGCAGGGCTGACCGCAAAGATGAACCTCCATGTCTCTGCATCGACCGCCGACTTGCGTGCCTGTCACACGAATCCGCAGCTTTCGATCTCCGCCGCGGAAGTTCAGGCCTGACACCACGCCTGCAATCAAACATGGGGCTTCCCAATAACGGCCTTCCACCACGACCTTGTCCAGGTTCCCAATCTCCTCCATTGTAAGTTCCGGGATGGACCTCCACATCCCACCTGCCTCTTCGACTTCTTTCTCTTCCTCTCTCAAAGCAGGCCTCCTCATGACTCCCTCGGAATCTCCACGCCGACGAACCGGGGGCCGCACCCGAGCCCCTGGCCTCCTGAGCACTTTGGGTGCCATCACCTCCTTGCCAAAGCCTGTAGTTGAGGTTCTTCTCACGCTTTGTCCTGCCTTTTGATTCGGTAGGTTGACGCCCTCGATATCCACCTGGCCAATAGCGGTAACCTTGAGACCCCTGGGACTTGGGGAAGGCCTGGTACTCGACCCAACCACTGTTGTCTCGATGCCCGGGGGGGGGATGGTCTGGCTCTTGGGGTTTCTTTCGGGGCAGGACTCTGTCTCTCTCCTTCCTCTCTCCCTCGTTCCTGTCGCGGGAGGATGCACGGGCACTTGGTGGCGGAGCGGCTCGCCTGGCGACTGGGTCGAAATGGAATGGCCTTGGCGGGGTCCTGGGAATGGAAGGACGGGGGCGCTCACCTTTCGCCTGCGAAGCACGGGTCTGGTCTGTAGATGCTCTGCTTGTATCTTGGTGTTCAGGAACTCGGTCAGTCGACCTAGGTCTCTTGGAGTCTCTCTCAACCTCGACGTGGCTACGGGAGCGTCTCCGTCTCCCACGGGTGGTGCTCCTCTCTCTCCTGGCTGACTTTCTTCCTAATGACCTGCGGCGACGACGATGGGACCGAGAGCGCCTCCTCTTGCTCTCCTCTGGGCTCTTCGCGGTAGGCTCTACGGGAGATTCTGCTTCTTCTCCCTCTCGCTGACCACTGGTGGCTGACACTTCCTCCTCAGGCTTTTCGCTGGCGGCTGACTCCTCTTTCTCCTCCTCACTCTTGACACCTTCCTCTTTGGCGGAGACCTTTGTGACCTTGGCTCCGGAGGGTGTGGCACAACCCTTCGAAGCTTTCTCTGTCTTGAAAGCGGGAGTGGAATAGGTCGCACGGCCCACTCCCTCCTTGGAATTGGACTCGGCAGTGTCGAGGAGCTCGATGTAGACCTCCCTCAACCGTCTCACGCAAGTTCGTGAGAAACTGGCGCCGAGCTTCTCGTTGTACACCAGCAAGATCAACCTTTGTGAAGCGAGGCAGAGCTGGCACCTGCACGAATGCCAGTCGTGGATCTCGCCCATTGGCTGCTCAGCTGAAGCCGAGAATCTGCGGAACACGAATGCGGGTTTCGTCTTTAAATACGAAAACGTCATATTCAGAGAAAATGGGCTTTTTCATAATTTAGCAATTGAGAAACTGAATAAAGAAGAATATTAATAATATATATAATGAACAAACAGCGGTTGGACAAGAGGAAAAACAAATAATGGTCATAATCAAAAACAACCCCTTTCCAAACAGAAAAACTTTTATGGATATACAGTTAGAGACAGTTAAAGAGGACAAATCAACAGGTCTCGTAGTCTTAGGAACGTTATGACTATAGGACAGTTAAGAAGATTTATGAAAATATTATGGATGAAGATATAGTCAAAGAATGTGGTAGAGAACTATCTAAAATTGATGGTATGCGGGATATGGTGAGATGTCGTAACTTGTTGGATGAAATCATACGCTACAACTACAACAAAGGGAACAACAAGGAACAATACGATAGAATGATAATATTGCCGTTAGCGAGGTTGGTTGAACACTATTGGGATGGAATAGGTCAATGGACAGCGTAAAACTACAACATAACTACAACCCATAAACACTTACAACCTATAACTATAGCATAATTACAACCTATAAACCCCAACCCCGAGAAAAAACATAACAGCAACCCAAGAGAACAAAACCCAACATGAGAAAACGAAGAAACCAAACAAAGGAAAACCGCCCCAGAAAATAATGAACAAGGATAGATGAAAAGTTTTGACCCAACATGTCTTACAATCCCCAGCACAAAAAACATCAAAGGCGAGGTTCATATGTTGGACTTCAACATAAAATCCTATAAGGCAACACTGAACAAAAATCGTCCTAGCATCCCCACTTTACCATTTTTTGGGTGGTCCTAGGGCCAGCCTAGGCCATGGGATAGGGGGGTCCTAGGTCTAGGATAGTCCTAGGGCTAGCCCAGGCCCTACCCTAGCGCTAGGATCTAGCCATGATAGGGTCTAGGCTAGCCCTAGTACCCCCCCTATCCTAGGGCCTAGGCTAGCCCTAGGACCCCCCCTATCCTAGGGCCTAGGCTAGCCCTAGTACCCCCCCTATCCTAGGGCCTAGGCTAGCCCCTATCCTAGGGCCTAGGCTAGCCCTAGGACCCCCCCTATCCTAGGGCCTATGGTAACGTAGCCTAGCCGCCTTGACTCCCTGCCTAGGGGGGTAGGCTAGGTGAAGGGAAGCCCTATCATGGGACTTCTGTGTGAAAAACCGATACAACCCACAAACCCGAATGAATGCACGTATGTACTAGTAACTAGTATGCTGTATGTTTGACACTCTCGCGTGGCATCCTCCAAAGATAGACAATCTGGGGTGACACTCTTCTATGATCTCTTATAGGACCATTACAGGATGGTGTTGTGGGACACCCTTCTAGGACACTCTTTGCATCACACAGCACACACTTGTAACAGTCTTGTGGGACACTCTTGAAGGGCACTCTCTTGCACGACACTCTCTTGTGGGACACTCTTGTTACAGTAGGCACTCTTGTAACACACTCTTGTGGGCACTCCTGTAGCGCACTCTTGTAACACACTCTTGTGGCAAAGTCTTCTGGGACACTCTTGCAGGGCACTCTTGTGGGACACTCTTGTGGAGCACTCTTGTGTGACACTCTTGTGGGGCACTCTTGTAGGGACAGTCTTGTAGCACACTCTTGTAGGACTTGCGGGGCACTGGGACATTCTTGCAGGGGGCAGTTTTGTGGTTTTGAAGTCCCGTAGCATCTTGCTTGATTTTTTGCATTTCTTTCGCTCTTTGCAAATCGCAACTACTCCGTGCAGCCCCAAGCACTGCCCGCAACTGCCGATCCTGAAGGAAGGAGGCGTAATCAAAGTCGCTCTTTCCCCAAAGGCAACATCATTTTGTCGGCGCGCCGACAACAACGACACTCCAGCCACCAAACCCCTCGAGAGACCCCAGATTATAAACGAGAACCCTGAGCTACGCATTTAGGAAAAAAAGGGGTCACACAAAACACATATCACAAGAAACAACATAACCTCACAAAATCACAGCAAAAACTACCAAGAAAGAAAACCAAAAACATGAGCAACACAGATATGCAGGAAAAGAGCACAAGAAACCACGCATCACAAGAACAAGAGAAAGGACATGTGTATATGTATCACCTGTTCCAAAACGACCTAATCTCCCGCGTTCCAGAACGATTTCTGCAATCAAAAACGACCTGGGTATCTTTCACACGTGTCACAGGCGGCAATAACCAGTGGGGTGTTTTCACTACGCTTCTGGCGGCTAGAATCGTGCACAATCAAGGACTTCTTTTGGTATTGCGATGTATTGCGCGTTGCGCTATTCAAGCGCAAGAGTCACTTCTGGCAGAAATGCTCAGAAGCAGAAAACCACATGCCGTGTCCAGCAAAGCTTGGCGACTAGCCGCATCTTGTGGCCGGCTGGCTCTTGGTTCACCTTACAAGTCAGTCCTTCGGTCAGGCTTAGCTTCTTTGGCTTCTTTGGCCTTGGCATGGAAAGAGCGAAACCATGTGAAAGACACATAATCACAACCCTATATACTAAGCACCTGAACAACCAACAGTAACTCTCTATGTACATCCTCTCAGGCGAGACAAGAATCTGGATCACTTGCAAACGGTGATTTATGATTAATATACTGATATACGAGGCCGTGAATGTGCTCCAGAAGTTCGTCTACCCTTCATGGTCTGTGCTTCCCAGTGTCCTCCCTTGCTAGGGCTTCTTGTCTCTTCGTCTCAAGCAGTCTTTGCTGCCTCGCCTTTGCCTGCACAGCACAGCCAACAACAGCCACAACTGTCTCCAATCAGGAGCTGATGTTAGGTAGCCTCGACTCTACTTCAATGATGTGCTTAAATTATGCATGAATGACCGTGCACTGCAAGCTGCAAAAGGCGCAAGGCCCCAATCCCCCAGCCCATGTTTCCTGATTTCCCTGATCTTCCATATCATTATCAATGGGCAGGTTTTAAGCTTTGCATGCTCTGACTCCATTGGCGGCCTCACGTCGGTCAGAATGAGGATCGCCGAACGGTGCAAAGTCAAACCTTTCCTGAAGTTGAGGGGGCAGGGCGGCAGGGCAAAACACAGGATCTGACAGAGCTGGCAGTGCGGCAAAGGCTCTGGAAAGTACTTTTTCTCTATCTCCTCTTTGTGAGTTTCCCCCTCTGCTCCATCATGCTGAACTTTTCTCGGGAAGTCTGCACCTCGAAGCAAGCACAAGGACCATCGACAGTTTCCACTGAGGCCATTCGTCCTTCGTCCTTCGTCCTCCCACACAAACAAACGAGGGCTCTGATTGTGACAAGGCACCTTCATCAAAGGCCCGCCTCTTTTCTGGATCCAGCAGAACCTGATGGGAATCGGCAACTCGCTGAAAAGCCTGAGCAGAGCCTCCAGGGCACGATGAGGAATCTTCCTAAGCCTCTGAAGTTCTTGACATTTGATGGACAACGACCATGGCTCCCAACCTCCAAGCTTGTCTGGATGATACTGTAGACTACGTTTTTTGTATGCTCGCTTCAGCTCATCACCGTGCTCATCAGGAAAATCACACCGGATGCCCAGCACCAAATAGTGGTTCGGTTGGCACCATTCAGGCAGCTCACCTGCCAAAATGAATCATTCTACACCGCTCTTGTATATGCAAGGTCAGTTCAAAGTGAGCACTTGCCGCCAAGCACCTCCTCGCAGCAACGTGCAAGGCTGCACATCTACAGCGTTCGAGACCTCTGCTGCCAACTGCGCTGCTGCATCAGTAAGCTTGGGTCCATGACCAGATTCTGCCTCAGCTCCACGACTCCCAAAGGGCTACCAGGGCTACAAATAGCGTAGCGATGGCCTCCAACCAAACAGCTCCTAGTAGCTTCTTGTTCCTAGTAGCGAGGCCAGGAGCCCCTAGGGCCCCTAGTAGCGTCCTTGCTCCTAGTAGCGGCGAGGCCAGGAGTCCCTAGTAGCTTCTTGTTCCTAGAAGCTAATCTCATGACTCAAACTACAGCTGGCCTGCTGTCGCTCAGCACATTTTGCAGCACACGTGAAGGACTCATGCTCCTCGGAGAACGGAAGTAAAAGTTCACTCAGCATATGAGGCTCGGCGCAAATGATCAGGTACCAACACAGTCACTTTCAGCTGCGGTAGCTGGCGCTGTGCCAGATTTGCCGCGGGCACCGGAGGTTGCACCTGAATTACGGCTGCCCTGAATTGTGCATGACTGCCTGTCCACTTCAGCCGAGGAGCATTGGCAAAATCCAGAATTGCCTTTCGCCTTGGCATCTCTCCAGTTAGTATATGCTATGCTCAAGAAAAGCGAATGTGAGAAACAAACTAGGCCAAAACATTGGTGCCTCGCACAACGCTAGGAGCGATCGGACGCTACGAACGGGGCTCCTGGCCGTACTACTAGGAACAAGAAGCTACTAGGGGCTCCTGGCATCGCTACTGGGAGCAAGGACGCTACTTAGGCTACCAAGTTGCTATGACTGCGTTGCAAGGCTTATCAGCTGAAGGCTCCAAAAGCCCTGTCGGAGAGCAACCACCAGTTTGACGCCATGCTATGCAGCCCGGAGTTCGGCCCTCCAGTCGAAATTTCGAAAGACAAAGGAACAAAAGCTTGATGAATGCTTACGAATGCTTCATGTGAATTCACTGAGTTCTGTTCTGTTCGGCACATTCAGTCCATGGTTGACACGACTGCCATCACATATACTGTGTATATATAGATTCATTATGTGCATGCATACATAGGCTGAATCCTAAAAGATCCTAAAAGCATCCCCAAACCCTCAAACACTACTATAAACAGCAAGGCTCCTGGAGTACTTCTGGCTTCTCGGTCAGAAACTCTGTCTCTTGTCGGCGCTTGTGCCCATGCACGCGAACCAGCCAGTCACCCACAAAGGGCCGTTTGCCTATCCACAAAACCGTCGGAGATGAGTGTCATCATGTCAAACATACCGTCAGCAGTGCTAGCAAAGGCTGGCACATGTTTCACCGCAACTGGAGTGCTCATTGAAGTTGCACCTTTTCAATGGGTGCGGTCTTACTGTGAATGTTGTTTGTTTGCGTTGCAGTTGCATTTGTTTTTTTTGCGGTCGTGTTTTCTCTACAGTTCCTCCAGCGGAAGTGGACAGCTAGCTCAGGACATCTAGGGCCTGTGTCTGCAAAACAATGCCAACCAACTGGACCACAAGGCATAAACTGCTACTCCAGAATCCCAGGTCGTGTCCCGAGTAGAACAAAAATAGTATATAGGGTGAACATACATGAGACAAGTGCATCATAATTGAGAAGGGAGTAAAGAATGAAAGAGTTTTGTTCAGAAGGTGCACTTGGGTTCACTTGGGTTGCCCCTTGAGGTGAAACAAACACAACACTCAGCAAAGCAGAAAACACACAACAACATTAGTCGCACAGAATACCAAACATGGAAGAATAAAGCAGCACAAACTCAAGGCCTGAAAAGCAACTAACACAAAGCGCAACAAAGGCCATAGAAAGCAAACGCAATTAAAACAGGGAAACAATATGCCACAAGAAGACCAGAACTAGGAAAGTAAATAAAAGCAGGAGGAACCACAGAAGCAATGAACAGCAAAACAAGCACAAGAAAGCATGAAAAGCAAGAAAAGCAGGAGCAACCACAGAGAAGCAAGGAAAAGCAAGGAAAAGCAAAACAAGCACAAACAAGTATAAACAGAAGAAATCATAGAGAAGCAATGAATGAAGAGCAGCAAAAGCAACAAAAAGCAGGTCCAAACAAATCCCTAAACGCAACACAAAAAGTTCCCACCAACATAGCCATCCATTACCTTGGGATCTGTTTTTGAAGCGTCCAAAGTGGGACGAGCGTCGATCCACGCGCAGCAGCGTCTCGAATGAGTGGATCGCTCGCCTGAGGTTCGGCAAACAGAGGAGAGTTAAACCATGTCAAGCCCTTGTTACGAGTAGCGATGCCCTTGTTACTAGTAGCCCAAACTTCTGGAGCTTGTGTGAAACGGTGTCGGTGTGACGTGGAGGGAAGGCTTCAACATTCCCAATCAGGCCCGCCAACCCAGTCCTCGCAGAGTTCAAGAGTGATGAAATGTCAAAGCTGTCCGAGTTGCTCGTAAAGACCCTGGTCCACTTGTAGCTTGCCCAGCTCCTCGATCGCTGCGGCATAGCGGGGGTACAGCACAAGCGAAGCATCCACAGCCTCAAAGAACAGCAATGCTGATTCGGCAACGGCCAACGGAATCACATTGATCTAGAGTCGAGGTTGTTGCCAAAAGGCAACGACGTTGTGTCAAACACGATATATACATAATTATATAATTATATGTATATGTGCATAGTAACTAATAACATATATATGTATATATGCATAGTAATATATAACTAATATGTTTAGTGGCCCCTCTTGGGGCATACATTGAAGATCATTGAAGCCATATCACACACAGGCAACGATTAAACGATGGCTTGGGCGTTTGCATGCTGAGATGTCTCGAGGAGAACCAAACCCATGACGTTACATCAACAACCTTGCCCAAGCATCAAGGGAAGTCAAAGCAGCAAGCCCAGTGGTTCGAGACCCCGGTCTTGAGGCAACCGTTTGGGCCGTATGAAATACTTGCTGAGCCACGTCATTCGCAAGCTGGAATTCCCGACGTCTACGGTAGCAGATTGCCCGGCGCAACTGAAGCATGGCCACAGACCAGTGGTCGCTTTTCAGCTTGGGACCTTGCAGTTCAGCCTGGGGTGGGCGTCTTTGTCAATAGGCAAAGTATCCGTGCAGGTAAGAAAAACTAATCCGAATCCAAACCCGCCGGCTTGTAGCTTATCACTGATCACTGAGAATTTCAATCTGTAGTTTATTGACACCGCAACAGGACGGCCTCGGCATTCTCTAAGCTTGCAGATCCTGCATGTCTTCCCCATGTCAGAGTCCATGGTGTTAGTGTTGGATGCGCTTGTTTTTGGTTTGCAATCGATTTTGCTTGGTCATGGCTGAAGCTACCACTCCTTCAAGGCACGTATCTGTACCATCTTCTTCTCCCGGCAAAGCTGCTTTGGGTGCTTGGAACCCTTCCTTGGAATGAGGTCGGTGATGGCTCTACACATCTCTGCACTCTTGTCTTGCCATCCTCACACATCGTCACCACGCTACTGCATTGCATGCAAAACACGGGGGGAGATGTTGCTGTGCCTTTGCCGCCAACAGGTAGTTTTGGCAACTTCTGCCCGTCAATCGCAGCTTGGACCTTGAATCACATGTTCCATGGAAAAGCTGCACGCATCCAATGGTTTCATGCTTGGCAATTGAAAGCAAGATCGTCTGCTCCCCACTGGTGCCTCATGCTTGTAGAATGTAAAATATCGTTTCAGCCGTCTGAGCATATCTTCTTCCTCAGATTCTCAAGATCTAGCAGTGCCATTGATGCGGATTTGGACCCATAATATCCATAATTATATATCTATCTATTGTCATTCTTGAGAGCCACTGCAGTCATTAACTAGAGCATTGAGAGCACTCGAGGACCGGCAAGAATATGACAATATACAACTCTACAACTCCCTGCCGCCACGAAGCCCCTACACCAACAAGTTGCCAAGGCAACTCCTCTTCGTCGTCCTGTGCAGGGGAAGCAGGACTGGTCCTGTGGCTTGGCCAAGGCCAAGGGTTCAGGTCTACAGGCCATCTGTCTTGCCATTCAATGGCCTCCATGGCATGAGCAACGGCACTGCCAGCCTCACGAGTGCCACTGTGCCAGCAAGTGCCACCCACAAAGCCATCTCTAGATACTAGTAGCGATGCCCTTTGCTACTAGTAGCTTCTTGTCCGTAGTAAGGCCAGGAGCTACTAGTAGTGTCCTTGTTCCATGTGACATTAGACCATTGGACCAAAGAGAACAAATCAGAAAAGCACGGCCTTCGGATCAGGCTGCGCACTCTTTGTCCGGTGCACATGGCTCCAACGATGCCCTGATCCAGGAATTAGTTGATCTCCATCATGCCTGAAGCGATCAGCCTGAACAGGACAAAAGTTTGGCATGTCGTAAGCAGTGCAAATAACAGGTGCTGATGCGTTCAAATTACTTAAGCTGACCCTTGGATGCAGTTGCAAAACACCTTAACCATACAAATGCACTAGGGTGAACAGTTGCCCACTCCAAATGAACGGCTGCATTGTCTTTTGAGGTTCCATGTGCAAATCAAGCTGAGATCAACCAATATCTGCTTGGGCACCCTGTCCGGGTCTATCAGCACCTCAGGTGATCTCAAAAACAAAATGCGTTGCCGCTCAACTTCTGCACACCACTCGACGGTCGTGCCAGGCACCCATTCGGTCTGTCGGCCACTGCTGCGTTTCACATCTTCAGGAGCACCAACCAAACACAAGCGCCAACCAGTGTAGTCATGTCCTCAGCAACGAGCTGCGGATTCCGGTTTCATCGCAAACGGCAGATGCGATTGCGCAGGCTGCAGGCTGCAGCTGCAAGCTTGACCAGAAAACGCTTGAACATGCTAGAACCCTGCTCCGAGGTCAGCTCGGTAGGAAAAGGTAAAAGTGTGACTGAAACCATTTGGAACTCGATGCTCCCGTGAATAGAGGCCGTTCATGTCCCCTCAGGAGCCATTTGCTCAGTGATTTGCAGCGTGGTGAAGTAGCACACTGATCTGTGCTGAAACATGCTCAGTCAGTAAGGCTTTGACTGATGCTCGAACCACCCAGGAAAAAGCCCACGGGAGGGTCTGTGACGCGGGCAAACCTTGGGACTCATCGGGTCAACCATGACCCTCTTCATTAAGAGCTCTCTTCCACGAGAACACATGGTAGACGCGGCAAAAAAAAGCATGACGCAAACGCATATCATTTAAGGCATCCGGAAGCATTTGTAAATACTTGCCAGGCTACCCACCAAAACGGCGGCCACCGCCACCGCCCTGGTATGAGCCGACAGCTCCTGGTCCGACCAGGCTATTGGCGAAAGCTCCAGTGAGCTGCAGCAGCACTAGCCTGCCACATCGGACGTCGATTTGCAACAGGGCTGCCGGTCCAACATGTCCAAAGTATTGGTTTGCCTGATTTGTCTTGAGAAACTAGATTGCTTCACGGTATGCACGAGTTCGCATGCTCTCGCATATTGAGTCGCAGTGAAATTGAGAGACTGTCTTCCTGCAAGTGCAAAAGTCAAAACTTTCATGGGGCCCCCTCTTCACAGTACCCCAATGAAGATAACAAATGTAATCACATACAAGTACGGATCTGGTGGGGGATTTCAGCTGCCTCCATGGTTGAGGTTGAAGCAAAGCTCTGACCATGGTGCTTGGGAAGGCTGCAAGTAACTCGATGTCAATGTTGTTGGTGTGTTTATTCTTGTTTCATGTTGGTGCGGTGTATCCCAAACTCAATGCCATCCTTGCAGATTGAACCACTTGACCCCTTGCAACCAATTCTGAATCTCTGGCGCTACCTCTTGTCCACCCGAGGATTGTCAAATTTCACTCCTTAGTTCAAGTTCTTCTCTGCGTTTGAGGCAGAGCTGCACATTGGGTACATGCTCCAAGTCAGGACACCAAGGCAGTCGAGACATCACGGGTACAGCTGCGAAGGGAACTGTCAACGAGGTCTTCAGTGACAGTGAGGGGCGATCATTTTGGGCATACAAGGCTCGGATCAGCCTGAGAATCGCTCACCTATCACATTGGGACAGCGCCAGCTGGCCTTCAGCGACCTTGACCTCACAAATCCATCTGCACAACTTGTCAACAGGAAACATGCCGAGTCGCCATGCTCTGAATCAAATTGCCAGTGGCCAAACAGCAAGCGCTCTCACTCAGCAAGCAAACTTTTGGCACAGCAATCTGCAGCTACAGGTGTCTCTCTGTATGCTGCCATCATGCAAAGCTAAGGAGGGAGAAGAGAGGCAAACTCCCAGAAGTTTCGCTGAGACAGTCTGCCCGCCAAAAAGCACTTTGGTCATGAACGAAAGTGGCGGCTCAGGCAAAACAAGCAGCTGCTTTGCAGCCAGGGAAATTGGATCATTTCATCCCCTTCGCCTTAGTTGCGCAGTGCACAGTACTGTCGATAGTGTTTTTAGTGGATGCCGACCAGCTACAGTTATCACGCATTATCAAGGCAAATGTTTGATTCTGGTACTGGCCCGATTATGCCGTCTGACACGCGTCACAGTTGGCTGAAAAGCTTTACAAAAAAATAAAGCAATACTTTTTAAGAAAAAACATACTGTAAGATTTTAGAGATAGTAGCTGGTACTGGCCCTAGGCTTAATCATGCCACAGATGCCCGAAGCATGGCCGTAAATAATCCATCTGCTTTCCGCAATTTGTCCACAGTGCCATTCTCAACAACTTTTCCTGGGAGTGGAAGACTGGAATCAGAAACAGCCAGGAATGGAAACAAAAGGTTTATATATAATACACAATTGCATATAATACATATAATTACTGCATAATACTCTTATTGTAATCGGTTCAGTCGAAGCCGCCTTCGTCAAACACAACAATCTGATCAAAGCTCATGATGGTTTCCTAAGCAAAGCATGCAAGGCTTCAGCACCCTCCTGAACTCCGTATTCTCTTTCTGGCAACTTCTGCCTAAAAGTTTGGACAAGAACATGCTGACGTCAAGTGATTGCAACTGTTACCAACAAGCTGCTAGCCGGTGCGCCACTGCAATAGTTGTTGTCCTTGAGCACCGGTGGAAGACTCGTAAAAGGTTGGGAACGCTCAAGCACCTTGTCTAGTCTAATTTCTAGGCCTCACCCATATATCGCGGTATTTTGCAGTCCTCGGGAAATCCTTGAGGATGGTTTTCTGCACGGCTTCCTGTGTGAGTGGATCCAAGGCTGAGGTGCACTCGTCTAAGAGAAGTACTGGAGGCTGGCGAACCACCATGCCTTGGTAGCAGACAAAATGACAAAACCGTCAAGGACGGTGCCCATGAAGCGGCATACTCATAGTTGAACACAAGACAGGAGTGAGGTTCATCCTCCATACATCCATGCGCTTCACTATGCAGAACCCCAACGGTTGGGTCGACGATCCAACAAAGCGCAGGTCAATGCAACCTTTGAAACAAAGTCGTACCGGAAGCATACATGGCAATTAGATATGTGGCCCCATCGATTGATCACAATCAGTTGATCTTGGCACGTACAAGTGACTATAACATGCGCCTTTGGTCCACAATTAGGATTTCACAGCAGCAAAACAGCTCAAAGCCTGGAGTGCTGTCCAATCCCAGGCACGCGCAAGGCTCAGCAATTGTTTCTGCCCAAAGCTGATGTTGCTCCCATCACGCTCAATATGGGTGTCAATGCCCTCCTCACTGTCTGTCAAGCTCTGAGGCTTTGAGCTGCTTGAATGGGCAGGTATGGAAAATAAAAGGTATCTCACAACTGAAGAGAATGGCAAAGGGCATATGATGATCTGTTGGTGTATGATCATATGGCTGGAACTGACAGCGGTCCAAAGAGGGAAACGAGTTGCATACAGTCCAAGCATCTGGCAACGTGCGGATGTATGGCATCAACTGCACGCTCTGCACAGCCTCCCAGAGTCGTGCATCTGGGAACTCATCAAATGGATCAATGTTGAAGCGGATAGTGCCCTCAAATACAGTCGGGTCCTGCAGCATCAGAACAGAAAGTGATGCTCCTCTTTGTCAACACTATAGGAATGTGACAATCAAGGCAATCGGCAGGCTGTTCAGGGCTCCAAACAATAAGTCACTATTCATGCAGAGTTGAAAGTTGAAAGTTCAGGTTGCATGACAAACTTGGTTCACTTATGCTCACAAGGATTCTCTCCTGTGGCACCAAGCCAACCATGCTACGCACTGCATTCAACCCAAGCTTTGATGTGTCGTGGCCTGGCAACAAAAACAGTTCCAAAGCATCCTTGCGTGGACGCCGATGAACCTCCGGCGAATCCGGAATCGGTGTCTGCGTCGTAGTGACAAAATAAAACCGCCTCCAATCAGGAGCTTTCCTCTCCTGGGCTCTAGGAAGCGCAAAAGGCACAGCCTCAGGCAGGACAAATGATACAAATACAATTCGGCAGTGCACGTGCTTGCCAAACCAATCTGGCTTTGGCGAACTCTTGCAAATTCCAGCACGGCCAGGCTGCAGAGTTGTGGATTTCCCGCAGCCCGTCTTGCCAACAAATGCACACTTGGTACCTCAATTTGGCATCAAATCACCACAAAGCAACCCCGAAAAGCAAAGTTAGGCCAATGGAAACTGATTTGAAGGATAAGGAAATAAGTCGATGAACATGCCAAGGACGTCGTCATGATGTTGATCATGCCGACGAGCGGCGTGGCACAATACTCAAGCTGACCCCGTGCAGCACACTCTTCGCAGTGCCATATCCTGCCATCACTAGTAGGTTGGAGGCCATCGCTAGTAGGTTTAAATTCTCCGAGTGAACGCATCACCTGGAAGTGGACAGCACCCCCTGTCGAGGAAAGCTTCCAAGGGGCCATTGTCCAATTCCTTGTTAGTGAGTCAGAGTGTGCCCTCTTGATTTCTTCTATATATATATATATACATATAACACTATACATATATGCATAATCTTGTTTGATCTTGTTTATTTCGCTAGGTGTTGCATCTGCCTGTTGAAGGTCTATGCGTCTTCTTAGTTTTGCCATTCATCCTGCTGTGAGGTCTTCGATCTCCACAGAGAGGCCCTCTTTGAAATCACTGTTCCAGAAGTCCACCCAGATCACCTGGGTGTCTCTTCAGATCTTTTTAGTCCAACTGACGCTGAAAGTGACCTGACTGGTGACATCTGGTTACCACTAGTCAAGTTTGACCTTCACTACTAGGTTGGAGGTCATCGCTACTAGGTCGGAGGCCTTCGCTACTAGGTTGGAGGCCGTCGCTACTAGGTTGGAGGCCTGTCTGTGCAGTTTGTCTCGGAACTCTCCCCTGTCTCTCGGAGTCGAAGCAACTGCCGGTGGCGTGCACAGCTCTCGCGCCATTTGTTCTGCTGAGGTCGACCTTGAAGATTTGGTGGTTTCGTGTGACCTACTGACTGTGACGGGTCTGTTAACCACCTTCACTGCTAAGTTGAAGCCCTCAAGCCACACCATTACTACTGTAGGTATTTGCGTACATATATATATAGATATACTGTAAATAAAAATATATATATATATTATTATATATTACTATAAATTGCCTTTCAAAAAAGTTGGCTTACTCTGTTTGGACTCATTTCCGAGGCCTGGACAAGCTGTTGACTGCCACAATCTGAAATGTTCCCTCCAAGCCTTGCAACGCCTGATGCGGCTGATGCGAGCAGGTTCTGAGGGCCACTGACAACTCCCAACTCTCTTCGCACGTTGCCTTGCAGCCAGGCGCCAAGTCCTGTGCCAAGAAAGCACGCAAGAACACGCAAGCAAAAACATCATTGAGGCAGATGGCTCCTCTGGTGTGCAACCATCCAAGAACTCTAAGTGGCGGCCATCAGCACCGAGCCGCAGCAGGGGCTTCCCACCTACCAGGGAAAGTAAGGCTGACCAACAAATACATGCTAGGCAAAATCTGATTCAAAATGACTCACATACATTTCCGAAAGTGCCTCTGACACAAATCCGCAGGGATGCAGAGTCCGTGCTCCTGAGAGATTTATGTGCTGCAGAATGATGCTGAATGCTTGGGGGTAGAAAGAGGAACACGAAGGAAGAGTACGAAGCCATTCTGTGATTGCCCTGCAATATCTGCAACCAAGCAGCTCACCAGCTATCTTACCCTGCAGGAAGTGGAAAGTGGAAGCAATTACTCTTGAATCAAAACATCCCGATTCCTCAAGCCATGAATGCTGCTTCACTGCATTGGAGGGCACAACCAAGCGGACCAGGCACAATCGCAATGCCTTTTTTGCTGAGCAAGGCAATTTGGTGACATCGAGTAATGTCGTTCTACTTTGCTCCAGAGAGGATGGCTTTGGCATGGCCCAGGGCTTCAATCTCATCGGTGAGTGCCTTCTGCCGAACTTCAAAGTTCTTCATGAAGAAATCGCACTCCTGACGTTGTTTTTTGCAACGGTTTCAAGGCAGTGTATATGTTTTAGAGTCCTGACCCATCAAGTGTGTATACGCATGCAGTTACAAAACAAACACACACACACACATACTGTAAATATATATGTGTGTGCGTGTATTTATATGCAGTGTATGTTAACACATGTGGTCGGCTCCTTGTGCAAGGCCTCCTTTGCCTCGGCAAGCTGGTCGAGCTCTTGAACAGCAGATTCACGGTTGGACTCTGCTTCAGCCTTGTCATTCTTCGCATCAGCCATCTCTTTCATCTTTCCGTCCACCTCGGATTGCTTTGCTTTGATGTTCGTCCCAGTCTGCTTGACAAAGTCCTCATAGGATGATTGAGAATCTTGCTCATCCTGAGCAGGGTTAAAAGCCTCCTCAATCTGCAAGCAGGGCTGAATCGCACCATAGTAGGACATTTATTTATCACTCTCCTCCGTTCTTAATACATTACCGCCGCATGGTACCGCAAATGTTGCAGTCTAAGCACTTAGACTTAGATTCCTAAAGACCAGTCATCAATCAGCCATGATAGCAGCTGATAGCAGAGAGTCAACATGACCGAATTGGGTACCGTGTGATGCCACAACCTCTCTCTCAGGCACTAAATTAAGAATTTACAACAAAGGACCCCCGGGCAACACGCCCCCGTCCTTGATGGCCTCTTGTTCCAATTTGTGGGCATCCCCTGCAATGGTTTCGATGAGAGAGATCACACCCTGCCCACCCGTGTTCTTCTCATAGTCTTGAAATCCTTCTGGATTTCCAAGGTCAGGTTCGGCTCTGGAACTCATCTGCCCTTGAGCTGCATGGTTGTGGGACTGAATTTGAACCAGCGAAGACTTGGAAGAAACACCGGTGGTGTAGAAATTCTTGAGAAACTGCACGGCCTTCTTCAAGATCACCTGTGTCTGTTGCTGCTCAGTAGCTTCTGTTTGGAACTTGATGTTCTCCTTCTGACGGGTCTGTCCAGCAATCTGAATCTGCTTCTCCATTTCAGTGATTTCCGACCTCAGCGACATCACATCCTTCTGGCACTTGCTGATCTTTGCATCCATCAATTGAATTTTATCTTCGGTCCGATTCTTCAGCGCGCCCTTGTCCTCCGTTGAGAGTGCATTCTCATTCAAGTCATCCACACACATCTCCCGGTGCGTGGCCTCATCCTTCTTCTGTTGTGTCAAGACTGCACTCATTTCTTCAATCTTCTCCTTGACTTTGGTGAAAGGATCCAGCTGCCCTTGGAGGCCCAAGGTGACCAAACTCTGGGCTCCGAGCTTCCGTCCCTGCTGCATCAAAAAGGTGGCGGCCTTATTCGTGAGGTCATCCTCACTTGCGACCTGCAGGAAAGAGACACTTTTCCTCAAAAGATCCCGACTCTCATCACCTTGAAACACTTCCAGAGCTTTGCTCACCGCTTGAAGCTCTGAGGATCGAGTCTTAGTGCGCTCTTGGAACTTCGCATCACTTCCAGTGCAATGTTTCTCCACCGCGGCCTGAAACTTCAAATCCGCCTCTCTGGACTTGGTGATGGCCTTTATGTCCTTCTTTGAGATCTCCAAGGTGCTCTCCGACTCGGCCTTCTCCTGCTGCTGCTCCATGATCTGCTGCTCCAGAAGCTTCACCTCCTTGGTCTTGGCTTCAGTCAGCTCGCTGTAAGATTTCCTCGGCTTTGACATGGTATTTATTCAAGTTCCAGACCAGTTTCTTCCAACCTGCGCACAACAACACAACATTCAATAATTCGATAGTCAATTTCAATAGAAAGGTCATGAACAAATGCAGAACATCGAGAAAGAATAGCTTGTTTGTCATATCCGCAGTTCTGATTGGCTTTCTCTTCATCAACCTCCTTCTGCAAGTCTTCAGAGAAATCATCCGCCATGGCTTGAAGGATGCCTACAATGGAGGAACTTGATGGATCCTTGGACTTTTGAAGGAAGGAGGTGCGCTTGAGGAATTGCACAGGCCTTTTGATGAAATCATCTAGAATCATCTTGTCGCCGTTTGACAGCTTGCTGTAGGAAGCCGCCCCTCGGCCTTGAAGCACCTTTTGCAAGTTGTCTGCCACTTTGCGCATCTCAGGCTGCTGCACCAAAGATGCTGAGTACACGGATTGCATTTCAGCAGTGGAGCTTGCATTGAGAGCAATTTTGGCTTTCTCGACGCCGTTGATCGAATCGGTCAAGGAAGCTTCATCCTCTTTGAAGTTCTTCACTTGCTCGGCGCGGATGGTGGCTGCAGTCTCCAAGGTTGCCTTGTTCTTGTTCAACTCTTGTGTGGCTGAGCGGATTTCCGTCCCCAACTCATCAATCTTTGGCCCAAGCTCACTCACGAGCGTGGTCAATCCCTCCACTTTTTCCCGGGCTGCTTCAGCAGCGTCAAGCTTTTCCTGGCTGTTTTTCTTGCACCAGCAGTCCAACTTCTCTTTCATGTCCTCATCAGCCTTCTGATCTTCCTCCAACTTGGCCGACATGGACTCCAGGAGTGAGACCACCTTGGCAATGGGTTTCGATTCCTGGGCAAAATCCTCCTGAAAGTTTGCGCCAGCCAGGGGGAAGCTCAGCAGTCCCAACATCCAAAACATCATGCTTCAGACCTTGCTCAGGCTCAGGGCTTCAGTACTTCAATGGGTCAGATGTCACTAGGCTGATGCCTAGTAGTTTGCGCCAAATGCATGGGCTGCACAAGCACCAGAGCAAGCATGCCCTTGACACATATATATATATAATTATATATATCCCATGCAAAACATATATTTCATACAACTGAATACTCGACGGCTCTAGAAAGCTCCCACAGAAGTGCTCAAGTGCATCCCAAACAAATGCAAAATGATTCAGCAAATGGTCAAGTGTGAGGGATGCAACATGGAAAATAGAGACTGTCAGAGAGGTGAGGTGTCTTGACTCCTCCAGTGGCACCAGCCTCCGCTCGCATCTGCAAAGGCACCAGCTCATCGCGGCGGATCTTGCTGCGCTTCAGGACGGAAAAGTCCATGGGATTATCAGAGGCCGCCTCTCCATGCAAAGGAAAGTCTTTCAACTGAAATTGAGTACTATTCAGCTAGTAGGTGGAGGCCATCGCTATTGGGTCGGAGGCCGGGGGCTATTGCGCTCCTTATTTGGGCTCCTTTCACACTGAATCCGTCGCCGTCGTTGCGATCTATCGGGTCTCGACCGCACGTCTTCCTCCCACCTCTTCAGGCACTTGGGTATATTTTGCAAGGCGCTGCAGGGCGTTGAGGACATTCAGAAAATGCGTGAAGGAAAGGCATCTTGGCGCAACATGTATTTCGCAACAGCTTTAACAAGCTCTAAACTGCCACTCTGGTGTGATTCTCATAGCGAAGGCTGGGAATATCAGCTGCTGCTTTGCCTGAGGGCGCCGCAAGCCTTCAAACGAAGACATCTGAAAGACAGAAAAGCTGACGCATGTGGCCAGAAGCCCCATCGGCACACCATACCACAGTCCGCTGAGAGCAAAGTATCCCGTGAGAACACCAAAGCAAAGAAACACCTGCCAAACAAGTGGCTGTGTCGTGGACTGGTTGATCACACCATATGGCATGCTGGACTGGAAAATGCTGCATAATACGTGGCAACTGAACAACACTCAATTTTCAAGTGTACTTTCTGAGGAGGATGCGCGGGACTGTGCCCAAGCTCTGCAAATGTAATAGATCAAGTTCCTTTGCAAACAGGATCTGCAGATTGGGCTCTAGCTACCATACTCCCGAACTGCTAATGATCTGGTCTCTCTTTCTTCCTTCTTCTCCAAAACCATTGTTTTGCCACCCAGAACGCCAAAACACCCAGATTCAAGAAACACACAAAATGGAATCTCTGACTATCTCTGTCTCTGCCTATGTTCCACTCTTTCTGGCACATTGTCACATTGACGAGGCAAAGGTTGGCAAATCACTCATCACAGCTCATTCATTAAGGATACACTCTGCCTCTATATTTAGCAGCACCTTGGTCCACCTGAGGCTACCTGTGTATCAAGTTCAACTAGGTGTCTCGTTCTTGTATGATCTGCGGACACACCGATGCACAACTCCATTCAAGGTTGGAGCACCAATGCACAACACGTATCGGCAGCAGAGGTGCTGGGAGCGGATCACACTATGAGAATAGTGATTGTAGCGCGACATGAAGCTATCCATCATACCATTCGCCCGGATCGAGATGCACTGCGTAACGACAACCTTGCACCGCCAAATCAGACCAATTTGTTCACTCTCTAGGGGGTCTGCATCCAAAAACTGCTTGCAGCAAGACGAGTCACCGCTTGTAGATCTTGTAAAGAAGACAAGCAGTGCTTCGAGTGAAACACCAAAGGTACGGCAGTACCTCGATATAAATAGACGAAGTAGAGCCTCAGACAATTTCGGCCATGCTCATCGTCTCATGGATTGACAAACAATGAATGTGGTGCTCGTTCATCTTGCAGGCAAAACATTGAAATCCTGGCCAGAACCAGCAAAGACACGTGAGAGCATAGATGGGAAAGGAGCATACGGAGACAAATCCTCATTGCTGCGGAAAGGAATACATTTGATCTAGTTGGTTTCCAAAAGCGTGAGTCAGGTTGCTGGTGACACCTGAAATAGACTTCCGTGACTAGCAAACGTCTTGATCCTCTAGAGGCCAAGTGGCGAGGCATGACAGAGAGAACGAATAAATTCGTTGTCACCATACCAATGAACAATTGCAACAGGCCAAAGAGGGTGGTGACCTCAGATCCACACGCGTGACTGGTGTCCGGAGGGTCCCTTCCAACACCTGTAACGTAGGTCGGACGTGTCTGAACATGTCCAGACAACTTTTCTTGTAGGCTAAGGTCGGTGCAAAAGTCTCATCTACCTGGAGACCGGAACCCTCAGATTTGAGATTCCTGTTGGACATTTGCCCTGCCCTGCCTGCTTCATGTCAAAGGAGAGGCGGTTGATTAGTCGGCCCACTGGATGCTTGTCATAGAACCTGGCACCAATGCAAGCTTCACGGAAACATCTGGCCAGGCCATTCCCAGCCAAGGCTTGCGCTTAATTACAGTAAATACATGTAAATAATAACGACATGTCCACGTGAAAATGTACAAAGACAGTATCATAATCACACACCAACACACAGACTCAAGACATGTGTTGCGTAGTCCAGCTGTCTCAGTCATCAGGCCTGTCCACAGGAGCTTTCAGCAAGCGACTGATGACTTCGTCATGAATACGCCTCAGGTTCAAATTGAAAACAACCGCATCCCACCAATGCCTTCGGCTGTCACGCAGACTCTGGGGTCTAAGCCGTGCTGCCGCCAGCGCAGTGACCGAAACTGAAATGTATGTGATGCTAATGCAAACGCAACAGCACAGCACAACCACGATGACCCGGGTCCTTAGTTTCAGGCTGTCAGGATGCAGTCATCCCTTTCGAGCAGGCCGGGGTTCGTTGCTGGTCAGAATGAGCGAGTAAGCTGGAGGAAACTACTAGCAGGATGCAGTAACGATGCAGTAGAGCCATCGGCGTAAGAAACAGTGCTGAAGTTTGAGTGAAATGCCGCGTCCATAGCCTTTAGACGGCTTGACAGTGACACAATCTAGGTGCTCATTCCCATTCTGTGACTGTTCGAGCAAGCTTCATAAAGATGCTATCTGATGTGTTTGCCTGCGTCACCTGCCAAGATGCCCCTTGCGAGCACAACCATGTTTGACATACATACACTGTTTTCCATTGATCACAGGGCTTCGTGTCCATGAACACCGGAGCCCGCCAATGGGCAGACACACTCTCTCTCTCTCCCTCTCTCTCTCTCTCTCATCGCCTTCGAGTCGACCCATACGGCAATGACCAAGCTCTCTCGGAGCTCCTTGGATGGTGCCAGCTCTCTTTGCATCTCTGGGCTGCTAGGCCACTGATGTGACCCCAAGTCAAGCTTGTTGCCACACTTCCGAAACATGAAAGCATCCAAGGCACCACAACTGCCTGGAGAATGATCGCGCACAAGACAACAAATAAATTTGTGTAGCCTGACAGGGCATGACAGGACCGATGGCAAAGGACAAGGAATGAACAAAGACACTGGCCATGAGTGCCACAATTGCAATAGTGGAGACCAAACACATCCAAACACAAAACACCTTGTGCCTGCAGTCTTCACCCACCACCAAAAGGTTGGCCAGGTGATGTCTTCTCTGACTTCCTCTTCACGAAGCAGCATGCCTTCGCACCGAAGAACTCAAAAGCACAACTTGAAAGGAGGAAGCTACTAGGAACAAGTGCATCGCTTCCAGTAACAAGTGCCTTACTAGTAGTAACAATGTTCGCTACTAGGAACAAGTGCCTTACTACTAGTGACAATAAGACGTCTCCACTTCCTAATAGCGTCTTGTTCCTAGTAGCGATGCCCATTTGCCCCTAGTAGCGTCCTTGCTCCTAGTAGCGATGCTTATTATTTATATTCTATTCTTTAACGGTACCCTTTGGGTTCTAGTAGCGTCCGATCGCTCCTAGTAGCGATGCCCTCTGTTACTAGTAACTTCTTGTTCCTAATGGTAATGCCAGGAGCTACTAGTGGCTTCTTGTTACTAATTATTGTCATTGCTACTACTATTGTTAGACAAGTTGATTATATAAGTACATTTGATGTTGCTCAGGCATACTCAGGCCTCGCGTATATTCAGCACAGCTATTACAGTAGTCTGCTCGCAGGACCCAACATGACCCAGGTGCCTGCTTCGTTGGCTTCCTTCACGGCAAGTGCCACGTCCATTCTGGGAGCAAGAGCTGGGCTGCTGCCTTTGGCAAGAACCTGGACTTCTTCTTCATCAACCTGTGCTTGAATTCGCTTGAAGGACTCCGTTTCCTCGGGTGAAGTGAGTTGTGAGACATTGAAGGCAGCCGGCCCATCGAACATCGACTGCAAACGACCCAGCACTGGAGTGAAGCGACAGGTGTTGCAGTGATGTTGCACCATTGAACCCTGGTCTTTTGATGTCTTTTGGCTATCCCATGCTATCCCCTTCACTGACTGTGACCATGTCTCCATCACCTCAGCTGGTGGGCCCATGGCTACAATGCAGCCGTCTTCGAAGAGCAGCACACGGTCAAAGTGTTGGAGCCGGATCTTGTCCGGCTGGGTGACGACAATTCGCGTCCTCCAGGCATGTTTGAATTCGTGCCAGGATATACCAGGCTCCCTCCTCTGGGGTGGCATTCATGGGCAATTCAAACACCAATGGCAAAAGTGGCAAGGAAAATGCTCGCTTCTGTCAAGCTTCCGGCCACGCATCACAGAACCAAGAATAAGCCTGGCATCAAACGCTCACTGCAACATACTGCAACTACATCGCGCCCTCACTCAAGTTGTGAGTGATTTTCAGCCGAGCCGCTCATTGAAGATATGTTGGCCTAAGTGATTGTGGTGAGTCTAGGCTCGAAGCATCTCTGAGCCCTAAGTCTAGGGGAAACCCCTGCTGTATGCAACTCCAATGACCTGTTGGGCCATCCACGGACGCAAAAGGATCATCCATCAGTACAAGATTGGCCGCCTTCGAGCAGCTTCAAGCATGGGAAAAGCAGTCCTTCCCCCCAACCAATTTGAAGAGTTTAAGTGTCCGTTGAATTGATCGGTAACAACCGAGATAAACAGCTGAAACCTGTATATATATATATATATATCAAGCCTCCATGTATGCTGCACGTGCGAGTGCGACGCGGGCTCGTTGGCCACCCGATAGGCGGATTCCGAAGGAGCCAATGGTCACCTGCTGAAGACAGCGCTCGAAGACAGTGGGTGACGTGACGTGACATGAAGAAATGCGAAGAAATGACCCCAAGTGACATGCAACTACAGTATACAACCAGGGGCTGACATGCAACTATGCAACCATTGTAACCCTGCGACCGCCCCCAAGAGCCAACAACCTGTAGAACCAAGCATGATCGGATCACTGACCACTGCACATACCAAACACCATCGAAACACCGCGGAGACAGCATCAAAATTACAACATCCAAAAAGCATCATCAAAACGGCACCGGGCATCAGTTCATTTCATTTCCCGTGCTTTGAATGCGTTGCGGCAGTTCTTGGCTGGCGCACCAAGACCATTCATGGCCTCTGAACGAAGATCATTTTGGCTGATGCAAGATCATATTCAAAAGAAGCAACTCAAGCTTCTCAAGTGCCAACGACCGGACATCATCAAAACATATCAAAACAGGAGCGGAGCACTGTGAAGGCATGACTGGGCCACCATTAAAGCACCATGGCAACGACCGGGACATTTAAAGTGACCGGGGACCCAGCAAAACACGCCGATAACACCAGGCAAAAACGACCAGCACCCGCAACACAATGGAAGACCAGTAGAAGGGGAAAGGCGATTTTTGCATATCCTGCTCCGTGTGTTGAAGAATTGTATTTTCTTGCAACGTCACCTGGTCACCCCCAGGCAAGATTTGCAAATCGGGTGCCAGTCCAGCTGCAGAGATGCAACTATAGTATCCTTACTGCAGGGAGACGGATAGAAAAATCTGCTGTGGCTAGCTGACTGTGGAGGTTCGCTAAGGTCACGGCGATCATGGTGCATGGCTGACTTCGTCACGATGTTCTCGCGCAAAGTGCCCTCAAAGATCCAAGGAACCTTGCATGAGACGTGAGCTAAACCGGAGAAGCCCAGTGTCACACGCCCAGAGTAACTAATAATGAAAGTCACGGGGTTGTCACACCAAGACATCGTCTCACATGTGTGAGATTGTTTGAGTCACATGGTTGTCACAGTAGTTTTAATGGTCACCCCACCTGGGAGCAGTAAGCGACATTGCCGGACGAAGCATCCGGAGCCTCCACGAAGCTGTTCCTCAAAATTCGGCCGCTTGGTCGTTAGAACTGGCACTGGCACATGCTGGCAAATACAGGCAACTGGCAAACACTCTTCAAACATCTTCGACATCTTCAAAATTCAAGCATCTTAAATCTGTTCAAGTCTAAATGTTCAGGGCATCCAAGCAGCTCTATAGGGTACAGTTCTCCAATGATGGTCTGCAAGAACGTTGTCTTCCCGGAGCCAACTCGACCAATTACACCGACCAACTCCTTACTTTGCTTGGAACTGTCAAGGTTTGCATGGTGCCTTTCAAGATGGTGAGCTTAGGGGTGTGGCAAGATATCCATGATATATGATATATTATGATATAGCAATATGAGTACATGACACAACCTTTGGATGCCTTTAGCGGCAATTCATTCAATCCAGTGGATGCCACCACTTGAGCCTCAAATAGCCCTCAATGCCTAATCATGATAGCGAGGTGCCGTCGCACTAGGCGCTCAAGAGAGCGTCTCCCCGTCGACACGTTGCCAAGTTGCCCCCTTCGGAATTGCAACGTCCAGGTTCTTCAGGTTTGGCTTCCTGAGCGGGCATCAGTCAAAGAGCCTTGCCTGCGCAACATCTCGCAACAAGTTGTGACATGGATTGATGGCCAAAGAGCGTTCCGCCATATGTGAAGCTGCCTGTCACCCGAAGGGCAGGTGCATTCTGGTTCTGTAAAGATGGCTGCCGCACCACGTTCTTAGTAGACGCTGGAGTCACCCCAGCACGTCGAATGAACATGACAGCCTGACATCTATGATGGTCTATCCACAACATCTCTCTCCTAAGTGACATGGTGCCCAAACCACGAGCCAAGGGTCATTTGGGCGGTCGGGTTGGGCTAAAAAACGCCTCAGCTTGCTCCCACAATGAGGGGAAATACTGAAAGGCAGAAACGGGTCTCTTTTTGGCACTGATGACATTTCTCAGGTTTCGTTGGTACTCTTCAGCTGGGCGTCTTGATTCGGTTGAAGCTGTTGGGCACTGTCATCAGTCTCGTAAGGCCAGCAGACAGCTGCGCGATATTGCCCAGCAAGGCCTCGGGTCGTGAGTGACGAGGCTGACCGAGGACAGTTGCAGCACTGGGCTTCAGGTGAGGTGCTCCAATGACGCGTTGGATGATCATGATCTTATGTGCTTCCACGGGGCCTGGACGCATCCAGTCCAACCAACAGGACTCAATCAGTCGAGAAGAGAAAAAAGAAAAAGAAAACTTGATAAAGAAGAATCTAATAGAAATGGCCGTTAAATGGCCTCCAACCTACTAGCGATGGCCTCGCCCTACTAGCGTTGACAGAAAAGAAAAAGATGTGCTGTGTTCTTGTGGTTTCATCGTTGCTGTGAGAAGCACCGTTTCTCTCGGCGAACCAAATGGTGATAATCATCACTCCCCACGGCACGGTGTGGCCAATCGCGGTAATAATGCCAGACAGCATCTGAGTGAAAATGACAAAGCCAAAGCCATTTTGCCAACTCCACAAGACTCACAAAACCCTTGATGCATACATTGGCATTTCGGATATTTCGGCATGCACCTCAAACAGTTTCACCTTCAAATCCAAGCCGCGATAATGGTCCTGGCGTTTTTGAGCTCGCCATCCCGTGCCTGGCACGAAAAGTCGGTCGCCGTGGGTCACTCACTTCGTCACGTCCCGCCTCCATCAATCTCTCATAGGATAGGCGTTCCCAGGCCAGTGCTTTCACTGTGCGAATTGAAATGAGCGTTTCCTCAGCAAAGAAAGACGGAATCATCGGAAGCCAACAAACTTGAAACGTGACACTGGCATGAAAGACACACAGTGAAATCAAAGGCCAAGGCTAGAAGATAAGAAAAACGGCAAATGTCTTTACTTTTCTGCGCACTGGTCCTTTGGAAAATGCACAGTAGGGTGCGCATGCCCCAAACTTTGATGATTTGATGCGAACGTGCTTCCATGGGTCCCGAAGAACAAACAACTGCAGGTGCAAAGAATTGCAACAGCATTTGGTACGAACGGTGACGATTTGGTCAGGTTGCAGTTAGCCACTTCATGCGCTTGTCCAAGCATATTTGGTACTTCCTGCGCGAAAATCGACAGCTTGACGCCTCACATGCTATCATCAGCGGGTGGCATATGTTGGTTTAATATAAAGTTAAGGTATATATGCACGAACCCCTGTGCTCTTGAAGTTGTCTGGTGAACTCAGGTGCAGTGGGTCAGCTGATGTCAGTAAGCTGGGCCTCCAAAAGTGCATTCCAAATCTTGCGAAAATCGTAGAGAGCAGCATCACAGGAACCACATAGGTTGCTCCGACCTTGGCTTCGTCCCCTCCCCCCATGCCCGGCCCTATGCCGCCCTACCGGTAGACCGAAAAGTGCAAACTCAGCCAGGAGCGCAGCAATTAGTCTACCAAACTCACCCTTAATTTGCTTTCACAAATGGTCCAAAGCGCTGTTGCCGAGGCGTCGCCAACCTGATGGATCATGATCACCAGGAGTATAATTGCAGAGATTGGCGCAGTGATCGTACCAAAGGTTTCCTGAGGCGGAATGGAACACCACTTTGAAGCGCTCAAAACCTGCTGGCTGCAACCAATCTACAGCAACGAGGCCACCCCAACAGTCCACAATATCCACATTGAGCAGCTGCACCTGGTGTCAAATTGAAGCTGGGCACTGTCAGGAGCTCAGCGCTGTGCTTAGTGCAAGGCCAGATTGGGTTTGTGCAGGCCCAAAGGATCGACCTCTTCATCATCATTTACCTAGGCCAAATTGATATCACATTGACGTTCCTCATGACTCGTGCGACTTGAATCGTTCTAGATTCTACCCTCTAGTGAAGGCTAAATGGAGGGTGTGTGGAGAAAGGGGGTCAGCAAAAATCGCTTATACGAAGTTAGTCAACAAAAATACCTTCCACGAAGTTCTGCGAAGGTTTCTGGGATTTCGTTGCAGTCAGTTCTTCTACTGGCCCACCATTCCACGAACTGTCCACGAATAGCCTTGGGTTCTACGAATGTCCCGCGCCTTCCACGATGTTAGTAGAATAGGTTTTTACAAAACCCTTTCTGTGCACTACCCTTCCGTTTGCCTCTGATCTAGGTTGTGTGAGGTTGTCAATCTCATCCCACAGAGGTGGGGATCAAATTGACAATTAAGGATTAAAACATAAACAAAAAACAAAAGAAGCGCAGGCAAGGATCAACAGAAAACAACATCTAGCGATGTTGCATTAGAAACACAGGACAATGAGGATCAAAACAAGATAAGCAAGGATCAAGAATCAAGAAGTACATAAACAGTGGCGTGTGCAGTGGCAGCGTCAACAAAAGTAAGAGTGGAAAATAAAAACAATAGATCAAACAAGTTAGTTAAATTTAGTTAACATATACTAGTAGCACTTAGTGATAAAGCAGTGGTAGCAGTCGCACTAGTAGTAGCAGTAGTAGTAGTAGTAGTAGTAGGTCTAGTAGTCGTAGTCGTCGTAGTAGTAGTAGTAGTGGTGGTGGTGGTGGTAGTAGTAGTGGTAGTGGTGGTAGTAGTAGTAGTAGTAGTAGAAGTAGCTTAGTAGCAGCAGCAGTGTCGTTTGTCTTCCCCTTCGCAGGAACTTAAATTAACTCTGCCTAGCTATCGGATCTGCCCTTTTTCTTTTCTTCCCTCCTTCCTTCCTTGGGTTCTTTGCTTCTTTTTCCTGGCTGTTCCCCAGGTCCGACAGCTATGGGCTATGGGGCGCTTACATCAAATAAGAATGAACTGCCCACTCGCGCATTCGAGACACGCTGCTGGCGCTGGGCGCCGGTGCTGGTGCAGGGTGTCAATGCTGTGGCCTGCTTGCAAGCTGCCCGTGCGCGTTGTGGAGACAGCGTGCCGGTGCCTGTAATCAAACAATGTATTGTAACGCATGCGCCCCGGGCTCTCTTGAGTACGTATTGCGTATGTTGCGGTGGATGCTGATGAGCGCGCTGCGGCGCGCGCAAGATTACTCTCAATACCAGGTTCTATGGTTGAGCGCGCTCTGCCACGCGCTCAATGGGGTCGCATAAGGCTCCACAGACCACGTGCACTAGGGCAACACAATTGGAGCCAGCAAAGCGCGGGTAGCACATGTATGTCACAGAGAGTTTTTTTGGCTTGTTGGCCGCCTAGCTATCTGGGGTCCGCTGGTGCAATTTTTGAGATGGCGCGGCGAGACTATTGAATATTGGTGTTCATATTTCAAGCATAGGAAAAGGTGTCTGTGTGCCAGATGTGTATGACCGTGTGTGTTTTGGAGACTGGGTGGTGGCGGGATGTCTACGCCGTGTGCGTTTTGAAGCGCCGGCGCTGCTGCTGCTGCTGCTGCTGCTGCTGCTGCTGCTGGTGCTGCTGCTGCTGCTGCAGGGCGCTGCACGACGCAGGTATTAGCGGCTATCTGGGAGCAATGTTTTTTTGTTGGATCCCTGTCTGCTTTCTATTTCCCTACATAGCGAAAGCTATTGGGATTCTTACTTCAAGTGTAGGAAGGTGCCTGTGTGCGCGTTGGAGCCTGAATGTTGGCGCTGGCACGCTGCAGTTGAAAGGCGCCGCTGCCAGATGTGTGTGTGTGTGTGTGTAACCTTTGGAGTCACAAGGTTCCTGTTGGAATGTGTTTCTTTACCGTTTAGATTTTGAAGCAGGGGGCTCGTGGACGCATGGATGGCACGAGCCAACGAAGACCCATCCATGTTGTCGTGAAAACGTATCTGCAATTTGATCGCTCCTCGGTCTGTGAGTGACAGCTGGAGGATCCCAAGCTTTGGTCCCTGCTAGTAACTAGAACAAGATCTTTCTTCTTGCTTCGGTTCTGCAGTCACGCATAGGGCGTTGCTTTTGCTTTCTTGAGTTTTAGAGTTTGGCCACCTAACGACTAGAAATGATCAGGCCTCGCCTTACCTGACCTTTCAGGAACTTGGTAGACTAGGTTGCCGTGTGGCGAGCGGCGAGCGGCATTCGAGTCAGTACGCATTTCCATAATAAGTGTGTGTGTGTGTGTCAACTCCCGTCTCCAGGGACACCACTCACTACTAGTTTCTACTTGCACAGATTCCAGCAGGGGGATGCCCCACACCTCAAAAGAGAGCATCTAGCTACGAGGCTCTTCAGGTTGTGCTGAAATCAGCACGGGCGCTTGCTGAAGTACCTGCTTGCACATTTTTGAACAATACTGTTTCTGAACCATCGCCGTTCCGTTTGCACAGGGCCATTTCTCAGGTTTGAGGTCATCTGCAATAACTAGCTCTAAAGTGCTAATGATCTCGGAGATCTCCACTGAAACTCTGCTCTTTAGAGCTTTATTCTGAAGTGTGCGCCCGTGTTTGCTTTGGAGCTTGGATGCAGGTGCTGCTGCAGGGTGCCGCTGAAGGGTTGCAGATGTCTATGGCGGTGTACACTTTGGAGCCTGGGCGCTGGTGACGCTGCACCGCGCTGCCGGCATTCTTTTTGCTATCTGGGAGCTATGCTGGCATAAGTGTGTTTTGTTGATCCCAAATTTGTTCTTTTTTGATGCCTCTACGGTGCCGAACTTGTCTATTGTACAAAGCTACTGGCTCTTTTTGGCGGGGGCACCAACCGCGACCAGTCGTGCAGCCGTGCTACCACGTCCCTCTCTGACTTCACTTGCCCAGCCGGTGTCCTCAAGGCCTTGTGGAACACAATCGATGCCAAACCTGCAAACAGTGTCTATGTGCAGAACACCCTCTGCGGATGCTAGGTGTGCTAGTAAGTTCTGGCAGATGGGCGCGTTTAAGCAATTTGCAAGTGAGTGTGGAAGGAGTTTTGGGAGCATGACAAAGGCCACCTGATGCACAAATCTGTGTATAGTGCCCATCCACCAGGCAAGCAATGATTCCAGATCCGCGGAAGATCATCGGAGAACCCCAAATCCAAACCAAAGTCCTTGGAACGCCAGGATCATTGGAGTCTCTCGGGTGAAGCATATTTCTGAGAATGCTTCCAGGCAAGTCGCAGGATTACTGGAGATAGAAAATCTATCGGCTCACCTGGATGTGTTAGTCGATACCTGAAAGCATCAATGTCCGAACGGTCCGAGGGCCTCACAACAAACTACAGCGCTTATCAATATAGGATGAATACAACCCGAAGATATGCAAAGTGGCGTGTCCAACTCCTCCAGACAGTTCAGGAACATGGTGAGGCCAATAACCATGACCACCTGAGTGGGCAGGTAGTCCTCTAGTCGCGGGCATGTGAACCTCACAAAAGTAAACGAAAGTAGTCTATATAAAGAAGCACTTTCATGGCTGTGGCAGTGATGAAAGCAGTACAAGAAACTCTACGGCACTAGCAGCACGAGTTTCGAAGACGCGCCCATCGGCCCTATCCCACGGCATAGAAACAGTGGTAGCAGGAGGCAGAATTGGAAGCAGCATCACCACAGGCACCACGGAGCATTGGAGCATTGGAATCATTGCAACAATGCAGCCGAATCGAGCGCTACTGCAGCGTCTCCAAGAGTGCTACTCAGCGCTACCCGCTGCTGTTTGTCATAGGTTGCATCTCTCATTAGATTGCTAGCCTCTTCTGCAGCTTGTCTGCTGGCTGGGGTTCATGAGATAATTGACCACCAACTGCTGAGATTACCAACACTCTTCGGTGAGAAAAACTTTGCCATGCAGGTCTTTCGCAGGCGCGCATCCCACACATCATCCACCAATCCATGCTCCAATCAACAATGATCACTCCTACATCAACATTGATCAACAATTTCAAAGGATTAGTGTCAGTATATAGTTAGACGTGGTTACGTTGAGTGTGGGTCACCAAAAGAATATAAACCCCAAGCAAGAACAAACTCCCATGTTATCTTTTTCAGAGCGCTAGTCGGTTGGAGGCCATCGCTAGTAGGTGTCATTGCAGCAAAGCAGCTCCCGAGCTCAGCTGCTCTATCAGGGCCAAAACGCACAATAACGCAACTGCTCTGCCGCCAATTGTGTGGTATAGTGCTCTCAAAATCCATGCCTGAAACACGCCATACCAAGCACATGCATGATGCCTCGCCCAGTGCGGCTGGCAGCCTTATGTAAAGATTCGATCCCCAAGAAAGAATTCATATACAGTCATGACATTGCAACATTTATATAGACCTGTATACAGGAAAAAGGAAAAGGCACCAACTTTAACCTCTCAACATCTGACAACATGGACATCTCTCTCTCTCTCTGTGTCCCTCTCCCTTTTCCTCTCTCTGCCTCTCTGCCTCTTTGCCTCTTGGCCTATTTCTCTTTTTTGTTCTCCTCTCCTCTCCTCTCCTCTCCTCTCCTCTCGTCTCGTCTCGTCTCGTCTCGTCTCCTCTCGTCTCCTCTCTGTCTCTCTCTCTCTCTCTCTTTCTCTCTCCTCCGTGCCTTCTCCACGGACCCCGCGCGTTTGACCTCCTCTTCCCAGTTCTTTTTGAAGAGCACATAGGGTTCGAAGTTCTCATCCTTCGGGCTCGAGCTGTCTGGAGATGAAAACCTATAGCAACTCAATGACTAGAAATAGATGTTCCCGGTTGTCAGTATATTTCTACCCTAACAGGGAGTGTGCAAAGGCATGTCTTTTCCTTGGTTTTTACCCCTTCTTTATTTGAACCCCACGCGCAATGCACAGAAACTATGCAAATTTTGGGCCCGGCCCACAATCTCAATCTATATTGCAAAGACATACCAAAGGACTTTCGACATTGGACGTGCCCGTGTGTGTGAAGCAGAATATCACTACCCACCCAAAGATTCTGTTGGAGACTTAAACTGGGAGCCACCTGGAGAAACTCACTCAGACTCACTCCCTCTCTCCTGGCGATTGACCACAATCTCATTGTCGTCGATCACAGCATGAGAGCATTTACCATAGCGCCCCACGAGTTCGTCCACCCAGCCGAGGCTCATGTAATTGAACACTCCGCGCTGGTAGGCCTAGCGCCCAAAGTGAACCGCCAAACCGTTGAAAGACTGACCTTCCAGTGGAACTACCGAAGCGCGGAGTTGGATGCAGTTTGTTGTGGCACAAGAGCGAAACGAGCGAAGCAAGCACACCACTTTGTGCGGTATGGGAACATGCTACACAGAACATATCACTGAAATTCAACCATGTGTGGATATGTGTGGATAATACATGAACATACTGTAACATCGGCACCAGGTGGCATGACAAAAGCACCCAGCATAGGCACAATCCAGGTGCAACCACACGCAAACCTTCCCAACCTACCCCGTGCCCCTGTCCCATGTCGATTCTAGATGAACCTGCTTCAAGCTGCATATTGACTTGGCGGAGGCAACGCAACAGCACAGGGTTGGCAAACAACCGGTGGTCCGTGCCAATATTTGCCGCAAGGTGGTGCCGCAAGCTCATCTAGAAAGGCAACCACATGCGAATCGTGCTGGGGAAAATTAATTAACCTGGAATGCAGCACTCAACCACTTAATTACAGAAGCGGTGCCACGTGAGCACGTGTTTCTTTAAGTGCTTGCTGCCTGTTATTTTGTGTCAATTGGCCACAGCTCTGTTAGCTTCCACTACAGATGCGCAGGAGCTGCAATTCTTGTCCTTTGTGCCGGCGCAGTTGCAAGAAGCAGTTGGAGAGGAGGCGCACAAAACTGACACATTTGCTGATAGATGCGGACGTTCCTGCCCTGGAAAGCAGGCTCTGGCTCCGTCTGGCTCCATCAGCTCCGCGCAAGACATTGCAGGGCTACCGGCCAACAAGCAGAATAGAAACGCAGCATGCACAAACTACAAAGCTGCGTTTTCTGTTTCAGGAAACCATAGGAAACCTGTGTCCTGGCCCATTTATATAGATGGACCTTGGTCCACTCCATGTTCCCCAATTCAAGCAAGCCCGTTTGCTTCCATGCAACAAATCAACCTTTTGGGATACTGGGCACAGCCTTCATCTCATCGGCGAGCCCGGTCTTCACCGTGTCAGTCGTGCCTTTCCTGGGCACCCTGTAAACAGAAATGAAGGACCTTGGATGCAAAGTTGACAAAGCCCTGCTTGCACATGCTTGCACAATACATCGACAGTGCATGACATTGCCAAAAAGAAACGTCATAGCCCTGACCAGGTTAGAATGACAAAGTTGGGCCAAAGTTGGGCGCAGTAATAATTTACAGTAAATCTTCGATCGAAGCTGGGGACCATCACGGACCCTCTCTTGGAGCCCGGCCAAAGCATCAGGGTGATAGAAACTGCTCCCCAGCCGAGACAAATGTTTCTCGCAAGGCTGTTGTTCCTGTCAAGTGTGTCTCCTGCGGGAGCTCATGTCATGGCTCAGGTCGACAACTCATCGATCATGCGGTTGGCCTCAGAACACAGAACAAACATTCAGAAATTCTTCCCTCCTATGGCGAAGTACTTCGAAATTGAAGTCAATGAAGTCCAACCACAGTGAGGGAGCGATCGAATAAAGCCTCGGCAACGCTACCAAGGTGTCAAGGTGTTGCCTCACGGTCATGTGTTCAAAGGCACCACGAACCATGATCATTTCAGAATGGTACAGGAAGCGCCAACCCATCACCCCTTCTTGGACGCAAACACTCTGGTGTTGCTAGCAACACTGCTGTCTAGTTTCACAAATTTTGCAGGCCGATTTGCCAAGCTCCCTGAAGGCTTGAATTTGGGCCGTGGTCTTAATGGTAAACGGCACCTCATGCGACATTTCATCTGGACAAATGTCACTCAAGCTGGATGTGGGCAAAGTCTTCTGCCCTGAGCCTGCCTCGAAGCCCAGGTCCTTGCTCAGGGGGCAACCATCGGCAAGTGAACGCAAGCGGTAGGGATTCGATGGATCAACACCTGAGCAAACCACCTTCAGAAAAACAAAGTAAAAATACATATAAATGCATAGAACAGCAACACAAAGCTGCCCATACACCACCACCTGCACCTGCACCTGGCAACCACCTTAGCAATGCCGAGGCTTAGGCCAGCAAAGGTCAGATTGAAGGACGGCACAGCGGTCACCGTGGTTCCCTCCGCTTTGCCAAAGCTTTGGCCTCGAAGTTTGTAATGCCTCAGAAAGCGCCAAGAGCACGGGAGCCAAGGGCAGCCAAGGTCACCGATTTATCCACGAGCCATTTCTATGCAGGGTCGAGACCTTCAAGAGTTTCATTCACAACACACAAACACACACAAAGTGCCAACCTGGTTGAAGCTTCGATTCCGAAGGCCTTGGCCGCTTCCGAACACCAAGGTGCAAGAAGGTCTGCATCAAACCAATTGCAGGCGTTGAGTGATCATCATTGATGACTCTGGCGCCAACCTGTGTGGTTTCTTAGCGAAGTTCGGGCCTCCTTACCAAGTAAATGCTTTCATGCCAAAAACTCGTATCGTGCACCTCTTCAGAAAGGCATTGTCCCATGCAGGGATCTGAGATCCTGAGGAGGGTGGTTTTTTGAAGCGAGCCTCCCGGAGGTCTTTGCGTGTGCTGTGAAATTAGAGGGGTGACCAAACAAAAGGAAAGATCGATACACATGAGATAGATAGAATTGAAACGTGAGCTAAGAAATTGCTGCTCTCTTCAAGTCGAGAAGCACATCCGCTGTGGCCACCAGTTGAAGAGCAATTAAGTGGTACCACATGATTGACAAAAACAAGACCTCGAGCAAGACTCAAAAACATGGAGCACAAGTAAAGGTTCCAGGATCAGTACAGTTGCGGATGGTCAAGCCAGCATCAAACGTATAACTTGCATGCATGGGGGGATCTTTACCCCAAACAAGTCTTGCTCTTGAGGCAGAAGGACCGAGGACCCACACGTCCACAACTTGAAGGAAAAATGTACGAAGATGGATAAGTCGTTATGGAAATGTCCGAGATGAGGCGGACCTTGGACCTTAGCTAGCGTGGGCCAAACATCCAGCAGGGCGGCCTGCGGGAAATTGAAAGAAGTGTTTGCAAGAATTCTTTCTTATGTTGGGTATTGAGCAGTCCTTTGGGTGGAGGGTCACAGTTGAGACTTTCGTGCAGTGTGTGCAACCTTCCCTGTGCTTTATCGAATTTGGATTAAGGCATGTCGCAACTCGCAACCATGTTCTTTGGATTTTCTTTGGTCTGTTCTGATTAGGTGGCCACTGCATGGCCAATTTAGAGCCTACAAGAAGCAATGGCCAATTAAGAAAACCTTGGTTGACAATCATTCTGCCGAGGGGCACGATCAACCAGGCCGAGGCTGTGAGGTAGGGATTCCTAGCCTAGGCCTTGAGCATACAGCATCCACCGGTCGCAAGGTGCCTTCTGATGCCAAACGCGCAAGGAGAAACCAGAAAGGGACAGAGACAAAGACCGAGACAAATCGTTTGCATTGTTGATGATGGCCTTTGCTGCTGGTGGTTGCTGTGCCTGCCATCACGGTCTTCCTATATATTACATATTTGCCCTTTTACCTAGTACCTGAAACTCCCCCTCTGGCTTTCCATGATTCGAGGATTCCGGGATGTTATTTATTCAGTGAACGTGCAGGGTTGATCAACTCATTGCAGCCTTGAAAGCCAGCTGGCAGTGTGGTCTTCGTTTGACCGCCAAATGTCGTGTCCAGTCCAGTGTCCCTCGGTGCGGCACTCCGGCGCGATGTGCCTGGCATACCAAAAATCTCCCAACTGTCGCCGGCTCAAGAGCAAGGCTGCAGCCAAAATCTGAGGCCAATTTTGCGACGCACCGTCCAAAAGCAACCCCGTGCTGCAAGCATTCCTTTGTGCTTGGAATGATCTGAAGACTGGTCGGAACTACTCAGGCTCTTGGAAGGGCGGGATGACTCCCTCCGGCAATGGGACGTTGAACGCATTCAGCGTCATTGAAATTTGGTGGTAGAAGCCCATGGTGAACACAAGGTCAATGAGTGCACGCCTCACCCCCCAAACAGTCCCAAGCATTCATTTACGACATCAACGGACGTTGAAGTGTGCAACCTGGATTCCTGGTTTGACTCTGCTCAACCGCACTCCCGTTGAAGTTGCACTCCAAGTCACTCCGCGCCCACCGCCTTGAGCGCATCAGCGTGCGTCTGGTCTGACACCCTCTTGGTGTAATGAAGTTCGCGTGCATACTTGTACACCTCGTCAACAGGGCCCATGAAGCTTTCGAAAAGCCCAAGCGAGTCCTAAAAACATCTAAATACTGCTTGACAAAGAAAGGGTGGAAACGTATCACAAAGACTTGGATCGGAAGACTTGAACGCATCATCAGACGCATGGACATTTCTTTTTGAATCTCAGGTCCCAGGTCCGTGTTGGAAAGATAGATGCATGGCCAGAAATCCAAAAGCACTGCTATCAAGTTCCATTGGTCTTTCATCAGCCCATTCATGTAAAGCAGAAAACAAGGTCTTAAGATCCTCCAATTGCTTCTGTCTACGCAACTTCTCCTGCTTGCGAGCGCTGGCGAGCTCAGCGTTGAAACGGACTATCCACGTTTTCTTGGAGGGCCATCGCAACTAGACTTCGCCAAAGGCTCCGCCGGGCTCAAACCACTGGGAACTGGGAACACACGATGGGCAACACAGCAGAAAATCAGATACCCCCTCTGCGCGCGCAAAAGTTTTACCCCAGTTCTGGGGTTTACCATTTCAAGCCCGACGGAATCCAACAGCCACAAGAGTCTTCCCGGGTCAAGTCTTCGCCTCTTCCGTCCACGGTCCTTGGCCCTGACTTTCTGCAGGGTTGGAGATCTTCCAGGATCCAAAAAAACTTCAAGCTACGCCAGTCTCATCAAAGTGCCTGGTGGGTTTTGACCGAAGAGCCTTTGCAACTGATTCGAGCGCAGTGCTGCATGGCGCGCTGACTGGATTGCCCGCCACTGGGCCTCATTGCGAGGTCGCGGCGCTACGTCACTTCAGAAGGTGCAAAGTTGATGTCGTTGGTCAAGAGTCGTACCAATGCCCTCATCAGCCTGCAGAAAAAGCATATGCCTGGCTTTTAAATGGCACAGTTGTCTTTTCGGCCTCCCATCCTTGGGGAAGAGGATGGAAGAGGTCTACAACCGTCGTCTTCCAACCCTCTTCTCGCAAGACATGGCAAGACCAGGGCGCCCGTACTAGCTTTTGCCCTGGGCAGCTGCGAGGGCAGCTGCCAGGGTTGTCCATCATTCGTTGGAAGTTCAACGAGGTTCCAGTGGCTCTACTACTTCAATGTCAAGTCAAGACCCATCTCATGGGCAAACATCAAACATCTCTCTTTGAAGACGTCTTAAAGTCTTACGGCGCATGTTCTCTGACGTTTCCAAGGCGTTGCGATCGAAGCGCCTCCATCATGAGGTTCTGACCCTCACGAGAAAGCTTCGTGACATTGATGTCCTGTCCAAGACATTGGAGATCCCGTTGGCATATAGTTTTAACGTTGACCCCCACATTGCCCGACAGTGCGCGCTATGAAACAAAAGTCTTCTGTACCAATGGCCTTCTCGGAGCGCATGAACTCCAAGAAATCAATCAGTGAAGCACGCTCTTGCTCATTCTCTCTTTTCCCTGGATCAAGACCTGCTCATCAACATGGAAAAAAAGTGTTTGCGCCTGCGGGCCGGTCCAGGGACATTGTCAACGCTTTATAGTCCGCTTTGTCCGCAATCTTGCGCGCATTCTTTCCGGGGCCATTTTCCACAAAGACGGCCTCCTTATGGACCATGTTGATTTTGACTGCTGATGCGTCTCGCTCCTCCTCGTCGCTTCAAAGTATATTAATGTCTTTCAGCTTGCCTCCTGCCCACCGGGTGGACTCCCAGGCCCGCACGCCTTACTGACGGTCTCTTTGGCTAGCAATGCGCCACTTGCAGGCAAAGCCCTGGCATTGGTCTTGGTGCCCCATACTCCTCCGTAGCCAGGCCGCTCACCGCAACATGGGAGAGTGCTAGGTAATTGGTAGGACCTCCAAAGCCGGCTCCCGAGCTCTGTTTCCAAATGGGCCCGGCCCTTTCGAAAACAAAGTCTGGCCCCCAAGCCCATATCATCTCCACCGGCTCACCTCCTGCAGCTTATCCACTCTAATCAACACTGCTTAGCGATATTCTTTTTCAAGGCCTGCGAACTTCTCCCTGAAGATCTCCTCTCAGAACTGTAACTTGAAGTCCTCAGGGGTCACACTTCGCATCTTTGCACCGTGCCTCACACGCGGGTGGTTTGCTGAAGCTTCACCGGCACTGTCCTTTTCGTGGCACATGTGATAACACTTTTTCTTCGGAACACCTTGCATCCAAAGCTTCTGCTTCTCCTCCAATGTATAGCTATCTCCTTCACCCCGCGTTTCCTTCAAAATGGCCTTCATCCTCTAGGACCTCAATGATGCCTGTGGTTCCGGTTTCTTTCATCTGGAAGACCAACTTGCAGACATGCGCCTGGACGGGGCCCATGCGACCTTTCAGCCAAGAGCTGCAGAAAACGTGGATGTTGCTAGATCTTTGTCTCACTACCACTACGTTATCATTTATCTCAAGTGCATAGTGCCTAGTTGCTTTCAGTAACTTTCAACTTTTTTACTGCGACCGCCATGACATCACGATCAACCAGAAGAATATCACTATCACTAACTACCCACCCCACCGAGAGAACAACAACAACAACAACAACAACAACAACAAGAACAAGAACAAGAACAACAACAACAACAACAACAACAACAACAACAACAACAACACCTAAGCAAGACTCCACATCTTCACCAAGATGCAAAATGAAACAAAACAGAACTCCTCCTCCTCCTCCTCCTCCTATCCTTTGCAGTTCCCTCTGCGACAGGGTCCAAGGACTCGGGGGAGATTTGAAGGAACAAACTCAACAGCAGACCTAAAAGGATTTTTAGAGACGCTTGATGCATGTTGATGTCCATGCCACCAAAATACATCCATAATCCACAGCAAAGTGAATGGCAGCTAAAGCACGGCTCTTTGCTTCTCCGTCATGCCTTTGGCCAGCTCTGGGGAAACTTGATCTTTGACAGATTGGACAGCCTGAGGTGCAGGCAAAATGGCGCTTTAGCTCAGCGGAAGTCCCATGATTGAAAGCACTGAGCGCATCTAAACATACATATCGGGAGACAATCCTCGCCTCCTTACAGTACTACGGTCCAATTACATCAGTTGGGGAGGCCATTAAGTAAGAGTAGGGGAAGGGATTTGAAAACTGATTCTCACAATCTTGACATCTGCCTGAGCTAGACAAAATTCCTGCCTCAGGGCTGACGCCAGCTTTCAGGGCCAACTTC